GAAGGTTTATTGACTTGGTGAAGAAACTGCTGGTGCTGGTGTGTATGTGTGTGAAGTTATTGACCTGGACCAGCTACTAGAGGCTTTGACTGGGACAAAGATCTCATATCTGCTCCCAGGCTATTCTGTTTTAGCTTAGTTTGACTAAATTTCTTCAATGTTGATCCTTTTTTCATTTGTTTTCCAACCTTTCTTGCGTCTATTCCTTGTGTCTTCATCATTTGTAAGCTATTACTCTGTCTAAAGTAATTATGCCTTGTGTAGAACAGTTTATTTGTATAACTTGATTTGATTTTACATTTGTCCCTGCAATCATTAAACCAAAACCACCCATAATCCCCTTTGTTTCATGGCCAACACTTAAAAATTTGAGTCTCTTTTATATTGTTTTTTACTTTGAGGCTAAAACAAAATACCCAGACCAACAGGGGCGATTTTTCCCTTCATCTTTCAAGAATCAAAGAGAACCTCCTAAAGATCAGAGCTTCTTTCTTTAGCCCTGTTAAATCACACCCCACAGCGATTGTTCAGCAGCCAACAAAACAAACTATCTTTCTACAAGTAGCTACAAAAAAGCCGTGTGCGTGCCACTTTGTGCGTATGTCATAGTTGAGCAACGTTTATGTATTGTGTATGTTTATGTATGTGTTTGTGTGATAAACTGTGTGTGTATATAAGAATCATATGGATGGATAATGAGTGCAGAGGATAGTTGAGGTAAAAATGAGTGCATCTGTGCAAGACTGTTGTGATAAAATGTACAATGGTTGCTAGAACAGCGTTTAGCGTTGTGTTTGTAAGTCTACAAGCCACTGCTCAACAGTGGTGTTCAGAACAAACCAAAGGCGGATGTTCAGGTTTACGACTCAAAAGAAGAAACTACAATACTGTTTCTGACAAAGTTTTTTTTTTTTTTTTTTGGTCACTTTCTTTATTGCATACCTGCAGCACCACACAACATCACCGTCCGTCAGCAACCTTCTCCAAATTGAAAGAGGTGCATGCATTTACACACATGGTGTAACAGTAGTTACAGTACACTCGTAATGTTGTAAATAACTGAAAAAAATAATTGCAGACATTTGAACACGATGACAGGGATCGGTGATTTATATACTTGAGCTGCTTTTTTTATTAGTTGACTGCTTTAAGTATTAAAATGTCGTCCCCATGCGAAGAAAACTCTAACCCAATGCATTAAATATCAGCTGCTGTGCTGTGAAATCTTGCGTGTATTAAATAATTCTGTAATAGTGGTTTGTTGCATCATTGTGGGAATGTCTGAATGAAGTTGTGACGGGCATGAATGTAATACTAACCTATGTCTGAATGACGTTACGTATCCCACTACAACATGCACCGACTGCTTCTCGCCCGGATTAGTCTTCCTGCTCAAAATGAAAACGACAGCAGCAAAATCATTTGGATGATGTTTAGTGGCACAGATAAAAATGGTGATTAAAATTCAAAGCCACAGTCGTCTCCTTGTTCTTGTTATGATGTGGATTAATTATCAATTAAACACATGATCCCGCAAATCTTTACTGGATCTTCGGTGTATCCTGGGATGTTGCTCTCTGGATGGTGAAATAAAAAACCATCATGCTGTGTAAAGACATTCAGTCCTTCTTTGTAAAGCTGTGACGTTCTTCAACAGATGGAGTAAATACAAATCTAAATACACATACATACGCAGATATGAGAGGAAAAAACAAGCCAAAACAAATGCATGCATAAACTGTTATAACTGGAGAACTACTTTGGAACTACTCCTTACAATCTTTACATTATTTATGTTTTATTTAATTCAAAATGGTAAATATAAAGGTCAATCAAGTACAGTAAAAATTGGTCAGCAGTTTTGGTACTGTGAGAAAGTGTTGAGTCCTGCTGGAAAAGATATCAGCATCTCTATGAAGCTTGTTGGCGAAAGAATGCATGAAATGCTCTGAAACCTCCAGTAGGTTGCAACATTGACTTTTTGACTTGATCATACATAGTGGGTAAACCTTCACCACCATTAGAAGATGACCACATGGGACCCTAAATCAGTACAGAATGAATAAACTTCACACTAGCTTGAATTCTCCTGCCGTAGGACCTTAAGACTGTCTATAGGACCTTGATTTCCTTGACTTAAAATGTTACTTTTATCTAAAAAGGGCCACTGAGCAGCAGTTCAGTACTTAGACACTTTTGACGTTGTCTCTGGTTCAGGGGTGGCTTGACATTGGTAATGTGACAGTTTAGCCACATTCCTACCCATCTGTGGCTCTTGTTGCACTGTCTTCATTCCCCGTGTTCTTGAATCGACTTTTCTTGACAGTCCTCTTAAGGCTTCAGTCATCCCTGTTGCTTGTGTGTGCACTTTTTCCTGCCACACTTTCCTCTACCACTTAGTTTTCCATGCAGCACTGTGAACAGTCAGCCTTTTTTGAAATGACCTTCTGTGGCTCGCCTTCCTTCTGGACGGTGTTGATGATGGTCATCTGGGCCACTGTCAAGTTTGCAGTCTTCCCCAAGCATGTACAGAGCTAAATTAAGCTACACAGTATTTTACTGTTTGAGCAGTAATGTGTTGAAAAGCTGAATTAAAGATACCAGGGTTCAATCAAAATTAAAATTAAAGAGAAGTTTGACATATGCACTTAGACTCCATGAAAATTACATTTTTATCAATTAAATTACAAAAAATAACTTTTTCAACAATACTTTCTTTTTTAGATGCACTCATGGAACATTAGTATGTGTGCATACATTTCCACATAAATTTTTTATTTATAATTTTGTAATGTACTTGAAGGGGAAAGGAGAATTTGACTATGACTAAATAAAAGGTATTTTTTATCTTCCTGGAAAAATATTTTGTTTTCAGTTTAAGTGCACTAAGAAAGGCAACAATTGAGTGCTTGCTGTCCAGTAATAATGGTCTTATGTTTTGTTTTTTTTACCCACTTCTCCCCCTGAAAATAAAACCCTTTAAATAAAAACAATTTATTTGATTGCTTTTTGAGTCTGTCTCATCCTCTGCAGGTGTTCTATGTGAGAGTCAGTCAATGATGAGAGGAAGTGGCTGAAAACAAAGAGACAGCCCAGAGACAGTAGAGAGGGATGTAAGAAAAAGGGTAAACATGGAAAAAAAAAGGAAGAAGAGAGCGCAGAATATGGACGTCTGCAAAAATGGAAATACCTTGGGCGATATGTCAGAGCCATGACTTCTAAGGCTCTGACATTTTGCTAAGGAAATGATCAGTCAGCATACTCTGAGTAAAGGTCTCATCACTGACAGAGTTAAAATGCAAATGCTACCCACAGGACACCTGAATTTGAAACATTTTCAAATGCAGTTAGGTCCAAAAATGTTTAAACGGTGACACTTTTCTCACAGTGTTGCTTTAAGCCCTGAATGCTGTCAGCCTGTTTTCATGGGCTCAAATGAAATGGACAGTTTACTCAAAACTGTTAAATGAAAAAGTATGGCTACTTTTTTCATTATTGTTTTTTTCATTAATTAGAAGATCAAAGCCTGGCTTCGGTTTAAACTTGGCTTTTAAAAAGTACTTCTGTGAACCCCAAGTCAAAGCAGATATCAGTGCAAGTTGTCTTAGCCTGCAAAAAGAAAACAAATCCATCTGAGAGACGGCGTGAACATTGGGACATCCACAGTTTGGTACATTGTGCTGTGTTTGGCAACATAAACTGGCCTGGAAATCCTCAAGTCGCGTGTGTGGTGATCACAGTCATGATATAGAAAAACCTCTTCACAACAAGGTCATGAAAAATCTCCAGGAGGCAGGAAGTTATGTATGAGAAAACTATGAAAACAAACACTCTAATACTAAGTAAAAGACAAAGGAAAAAAAAAAAAGTTCAAATATGGAGAAAAAGGAGCAACTGAAACAGGCTGCATGCCAGGTGATGCATGTGCACATTAATCAAGTCTACCATAAAGAGAAGAGTGAAAATACAAGGATTTAACACAAGTGGAGCTACTGATCCATTGGTCACTTTTAGTCACGGCTGTCCAAGAAGATGACCCTAAAGGTGATACTGGCCAAAGTTACGTCAGAGATGAAGGGAAGTATTAATGAATAATTTATACCTGTTAAATTATGTTTAAAATGAATTAGCCGTTTAGGAAATGTGCGGGCATATATATAGTCATGAAGCACAGAAACTGTGATGAATTGATTCTTGTTCAAATGTGGAAACGCTTCCCCCTTTTTGGTAAGAAAACTAGTCCTAAATAGATTTTATTCTTTCCTGTAGAACTTTCAAAAAAGTTCTTCTACTCTTCTATGAATCCTTCGGAGAGTCAACAACATTCCTCCACAAAAATGTGCTTTCTCTCATTTCATCCGACACTAAATTGCCAGATGGGGAGACCTTGTAGTATTTGATTTTCTGATATCCTGAATAGACTGTTTTCTGTATGCATCTGAATTGCATCGTGTGTAGACTTTTTTTTCTTCTTTTTTTTTTTTAAATGCAGTTTTCTGAACTGAATAGTGTTCGCCATCTCTTTGCAAAGCACTAAAACTGAAGTGGCTCTGAAACCTTGAGATTTTAATTAAAAGGTGAACGGCGGGCACTAACATAAAACTTGAAAAAAAACATGAAAGAGCAAAGCTTTTATTGAATATTGGATCTCCGTAAATAGAAGCTTGACTGAGGAAGCTTGCTTGAATTAAAACTGAAGAAGAAACGCGGCCTATGTAACAAAAACTGCAACCCCATAGCCAACGCATCTATGCACGGCAGATATTCATAAACGTCTGCTGTGCATGTGTACGCTGCAGCAGTAAATGTGTTCTTTTTCAGCGAAACTAGCACAGTTTTATTGGATGAGCTTAAATCAAATGGCTTTACAGCTTGTTTATTGTGAGTGGTTAATTGATGTCCACCTTTAATATAGTACAATTTTTCCTTTTTGTCTGAGTAAATCCATTGGATAACTTCTTTCTCTCTCCTTTTCACTCTTCCTCCCTCTGTCTGTGCAGGTAGGGGAGAGACAGCATGTGTTGGTGACAGAGGAGTCATTTGATTCCCAATACTATGTGGCTCACAACAAGTACTACGAACAGGTAAGGTTATTGTCCAGATACATTAACCAACGACTCAAGCACAGAATCCATAAATCGTGTTTGTTTCTCACCGTTTATATATCAAATATATTTCTTAAATGCAATCTCAAGGAGCCAGTGAGGATAACTGTGAGCCGTGCCTTTGCTGAATTTAATTGTTCTCTACCAAATAAAAAGTGTGAATTTTAGTGTGGTAATATTTAAAAAAATATTTTGATAGTGAAAATTTAATCTAAGTGCACAGACTTATGAATAGCTTGTCTGCTAAAGAACCATTCAGCCAAGCTCTTGCACTGTATGCATCAATAATGCTTAAGATGCTCTCCACATACACTTTCCTCCATAGAAAACTCTAGCGGAAAGGCAAATTAATCAATAATTTAACGAATATGTTTTTTCAGTGTGAAACTTTTCCAACTCTTCTTCATGTCTCAGGACTAGTCACATTAAGTGTCAGATACTTGAGCTAGTATTGAGTAAACTAGGTTAGTTGTAATATCAAACACACTCACAAATACACACATACACCCTGCGGTGGTCATGGCAGCATTTGGAGGCTGATAGCAGCAGTACTATTTTTTTTTAACTGTACTAACATTAAGGTCAGCCCTAAAGACATGAACATTCCATCCTGCAACCTCACACACACATATACCTTTGCATGGCTTCAAAGACCCTCTCAACCTGTGAAAAATCCACTTTAAAACATCTTCAAATAAATCAATTTCCTCCTGCTTTAACCATCATCAGAAACATGTTTGAAGTTATGCTTTTTATTAGCAGGGAGGGCAAAGGATGGTAATAATTTTTCCTCCCTTCCACTTCCCTCTCCTCCCCTCTTCTCCTCCTCCTTTGCACTTTCTTCTGTAGGCTATAAACTTCAGTTACAAGTGTTACTCGGTTCATGTGTGCGTTGCATGAGTGCGCACTCCTTAATGCGTGCCTGGATTTGTGTATGTCTTGGCATGCGTGTCAGCTGACCGTACTTAAGCACAATCTCTGACCCTCTTGTGTTGAAATATCCATACTCCTGCTGAACATGCAAACACTTTAAACATTTGCCTAAAATAGTTTGGGACGCTCTAGTGCTGTTAAAACAGACTCCACAGGCAATAGTCCCATAAGTCCCGTAAGTGGTGAGGTGCACACTCCATGAATCACACTTGTCTTTTCAGCACATCAAACAGATGCTTGGTATGAATTAGACTGGGAATGCTGGGAAAGGGAACACCTGGAAATCAGTCATCTTCTTCAAATCATTCCTGAAGAATTTTAGCATTTTTATAGCTGTAAGAGCCCACGTGTAAGACTACAGTTTAATTAGCTGCCAGTAACTTGTAGTGGGATGTCGTGCTTCCCATCATTTACAAAGTGAGCCCTAATTTCGCTGCAAAATAGCCATTTAATAAGTTTGTAACTACAACATTCTCTGATAAAATCAAGCTTTTTTGTCACTTAGGCCAGCGGTCCCCAACCCCCGGGCCTCGGACTGGTACCGGTCCGTGAGTCGTTTGGTACCGGGCCGCGAGAGTTGAGGCTCAGGTGTGAAATGTATGGTTTTCAGGGTTTTTATCGTTTTCAGCGTTGTTTTGTTATCATTTTTATCGTTAACTCTGTTTTCCTGGGTCTTTTCACGTGTGTTATGAATAAATCTTCTTTTTTTCGGTACCAGTACTAGTTTTATTTTGTTGTATTTATCCGCGACACCTTAAAGGCCGGTCCGTGAAAATAATGTCGGGCATAAACCGGTCCGTGGCGCCAAAAAGGTTGGGGACCGCTGACTTAGCCTACAGCCACACTAGCCCGGATAGATTTGAAAATGGTGTTTTCGTCTGAAAACGCTCCGCGTCCACACTAGCGTTTTCAGTCGTTTTCACAGAGTTGTGCGTCCACATTGAAACGGCCGAAAACGTTTATGATCCAGTCCTGCGCATGCGTGCAACGAAAGAAGATTCGACCTGCCACATTTCTGTCTGCCGCTTATTTGCTTTCCCGAAAAATGTTGAGGAAAAGCACCGAGTTTTTTAAATGGATTAACAATGAGGTGGAGTTGTTGCTGCGAGTAACACAAAAAATGGTAAATGGCCTGCATTTGTATAGCGCTTTTCTAGTCCCTAAGGACCCCAAAGCGCTTCACACTACATTCAGTCATTCACCCATTCACACACACATTCACACACTGGCGATGGCAAGCTACATTGTAGCCACAGCTGCCCTGGGGCGCACTGACAGAAAACTACAAAGTTGCAAAAGCAAGTGAGAGTTAAAGAATTTGAAGAAAAGCTATCTGGAGCATGCACAGACTGATATTAATATTTAATAGGGCTGTTAAAACTGAGAGCAAGCAAAACAACTGCTGTATAATGCCCTCTGCTATTTTACTTTAATTGGTCACATGACTGCATCACATGACTAACATGCGTCATTGTTTTAGAAACTCTCTCCGTTTTCGCTGTCCACACTGCGACGCGAAAGCACCGTTTTCAAAAGTACGCGTTTTCGAGAGCGTTTTCAAAAAGCTGTGATTTTCCACCATTTCCGTGTCGGTGTGGACGGGAGGCCAAAATGGAGAGAAAACGACGGACGTAGCCTTAGGTGATGTTTATGAAACGAGTGCTCATAAAGCACCGGCTCTTCCTCTTACACGCTCACTTTTATGAGTCTCACTGCAGACACATTGGTTCTGTTTTAACCCAGGTGTTCATAGCAATAGTAGGTAAGTCACAGGAAAAGGGCATGAAAGGGGTCATGGGCAACAGACTGAAAGTTACAACCAGCTTCATTTGGAATCCGTCTAAAACAGAGAGGTTAATAGACACATGGCAGAGAAAACAAAAGGTGGTGACCTGAAACATAACAGATACATTCAGGAGACATTAACTTGTCCAAAAGGTGCGTTATATGGGACCATTAAGGCAGCTCACTGATCTCCAGTTCATACACATTATACATTACAGATGTTGTGAGTTCAGCCTCACTTTAATTCTTACCATATTGATCCATACAGATCTAATTATTCTAAAAAGATTGTGTAGCAATAAAAGTGTAAATGGATGGAATAATGGATGACGAGAAAGGGAAGTTAAGGTAGTTGAACTGTAAAAGAAATAGTGAGTTTGAGAGGAAAGGAAAGGAGGAGGATGTGCGGGCTGAAGGAAATGGGGAATAAGGAAGAGAGAGGTGTGAGAGTGAACAAATGGCCTAGTTTCACTTTGACACCATCAGATGGATATCTATCCTGACGGCTGTAATAGGTACCCAACCCACCTGTGTGTGTGTGTGTGTGTGTTAGTGTCTGAGTGAGGCAGCAGGAGAGGGGGTTTCCAATGAAATCAGACAAGCTCTTTCATCATTTAATCACTATGTAATGGGCAACGAATGACCCTCACCTACACACACACACACAAAGACAGCTATCTCTTCCACAGCCCTGCGGTTTCACTTCTCCACTCACAGTCTGGCTGCTGGTAACTTACACGCACACACACAGCCTCTCTCTGTGGTCAGAGTGTTGAGCAGCAGGTGTGTTGATTGGGCAGACGTCGTGCTGGCTTTGTGTCTGTTTGGCCAGCACTCCGTCTCCTATCATATTTTACCAGCTGGATGAAGGCTGACAGATTAACACTGAGGCAGGCGTGCCTCTGCCATCAGACCAGTAACAATCTCTCCTCCAGTTCATACGCTATTCTCTGCTCAGTCAGTGCCTAAGCCCTGCAGAGTAGTGTAATGGTTAGACGGACCACCAGATGATCCGAGTCGGCACGTCAGCGCTTTGCTGAAGCCAATGTGTACAAGACATTGAATTCCCAGCATGTCTGAGGCTGATGACCCAAACTCTGATCTGTCCTTGGAAAGGATTAAACAAAAACGTTACAGGACTTATAGCAGGGACAAGGATCAGTGACATGCCATCTTATTATCATCATTATTCATTTTGTACATCATCTTTATCTTTGATGATGTATAATAATATGCTAACAAGTTCTCAAACAACTTTTTCAAAGGTTATTGTGTAGTGTCAGATGTAAACCATCTAGGTGGATGGATTTACATCTGCTATTATTCTCCTAAGGTGTTCACAAAGCTTGATTAAAAAATGATGCCTTCTTCACAAAGAAAGTCACACTTTTGCAGCGATTAGAATTGAAGAAGTTTTTATAACTGCCTGACATCCTTCAAAAATGCACGCACACCAAATCATTTAATTAGTGTTTACTACATAAAACGACTGAATCTGAAAAGAAGAGCCGAAGAAAGGGAGTAAATCGGCACGATAATCATACACCATACATCATTATCAGCTTGTTGACTTTGTAGCTAGTTTGAAATTGTCTTTGAAGGAAAAAGTATTTTCATACAGTCTTTATTTACAGGAATAAGTCATTAAGAACAAATTCCCTTCCACATGAATCCGTAATTATAACTCTTTGTTTTCCCTTTCCTTCCTGCTGTGATCAGCTAAGATGTGCAGTTGCCATGGTGAAATAATAAGACAAACCAGCAAATCCTTCCCTCTGGTTTAGCGCCCAGCTGTTCCTGTACTTGTCGACCTTGAGGTCTTCCATAAATGGAACTGAAAGCACTCAGTTGGGGGGGTTTGTTTGTTTTTTTCCGCTGTTGTCGTTGTTGGTTTTTATTGTGAAGCCGTGGACTGGCTAAATCAATATGGAGGTTGACAGATGTAAAGAACCAGGGAACATTATCTGGTGGAGTGGACGGTTATATAGGTCTGCTTTTTTATGTCAGCCACAGTAAAGTCTTTTAGTTATCTTCCATGTACTCCACTGAAGGCGACTAAGCGGCAAACAACACAACTGTATCCATTATATTCTACCTTGAAATTTTAGCAATATGCAGTTGTTAGAATTTTTGCCTTAAAGTGTTTTTTATTTGTGTATTTTTTTGCAGTGAAGTCAGTTATGATGTCCTCCGATTTGCAGGTGCTGGTACCTAAAAGGGTGGAGTTTAAAGGAAAGATGATTGTGGTGGACGTCTATGAGGCAGGAAAACACTTCATGAAAGGCAAACCAGTAGAGGAAAGTAAGCCGTTCACTCCTTCCATTGCCATGCCGCTTCAGAAAGGAGAGGTGTCTGGTCTGCTGCAGGTAAGCACATACATGCATGCTTACAGTTACAGTAATTAAATTAATGCCTAGATGTGTCATTGTCTTGTCAGTCACTCATTATGGTGCTATGACATTTTTAAATGGATGCACAAACAGATATCGTCTTTCAAATATTCATATACAGTATACCAAAAACACACTTGTTGAAAACATGAAGAACACCAGGTGATCACAGTATAACACAATATAAGGTAAACTTCAGGGATATCAATGTGTCGAGTTACAAAGTATAAATCACTGTGAGTCCATTATCCCTGCTCTGGTCCACTGGAGAGGCAAAAACAACACAACCCCCAAAAAGGGAAGTTTTGTGCATGTTGGCTACAGATCAGTGCTCTCTCCTTCTCCCTCCTGACTAATTTCTCTCTACTTTCGCTTTAGGCTAGTGTGTCAATGTGACCATACCTACAGCCCATTCAGGCTGCACAAGCAGACCTGCTCCTCCAGGATTGCACTTCTGCACATGCCTTCACAAGACGTTTTGTGTCTCAGCACAGTCTCAGGAGTGTGAAGGAGAGCTGGACATGACCATAGAAGGGCACTGAGCCAGCAACAAGGCATGGTATCTGCTGCTTTATGTGATGAGAAACAGGAGGAGACATAAAATGCATGCAGCAGGCTACTTGTGCATGTTTCTACTCAGCCTATCAGAATCGGCCTCCATGAGGGTGGCATGAGGGTTCTTGGTCCTTTATTATGATCTGTGCACAGGAGTGCTCACTGCACGGTGCAAATATGTACACGGCACCGTATGCTAACACAGTAGGTTACATGTGTGCATGTTACTGAAGAATTTTGTAGGGTTCTGGTAGAGCTCCTCCTGCTCCTCCTTGTACAAAAGAGCAGATTTGGGTCTTGGTGCTTGGTTGATGCACTTTTACAGACCTGTCCAGCTGTTCTTGTGTACAGTATTTACTCCCTATTCTTGAGACAGTGCTGGGAGACACAAAAAGCTTCTTGCGCCAATGAAAATGTCCTGCTGCAAGAAGTGGAACACTTGTGCAATGTGAATGGGTTGCAGGTACTTTCCCATAATACCAAGAATGACAAGAAAAGTAACAATGGTCTATGGCTCCAAAGACATTCTCCTTTTTTATTTTATTTTTTGGAGGTTTTGTTGTTGAGCCTCCTGTGCAACTGCTGTCACTTTAATTTGCACCAAAGCAGGTGAAAGTGACTTATGCTTCCAAAGTGGACACATATATATCCCTGAAGTTTAACTGACTCCACGATATACTTTCACGACCCAGTGTTCCCTTTTATTAAGACCACCTCACATGATGTGGTACTACTGGTTCCTGTTCTAATAGCCACTTGGTGGATAGTGCTCTGAACAAATCAGCTACAGCATCTTGGGAACAAGGTTTGTAGGTTGCTCTTTGTAAGCTACACTGTAAGCAAACTGATAGTTGTCCAAGGTGGAACAAATAGTGAACCTGAGACGGTGAGTTGTGTTGGAAATGTAATGTGCAGCAGGTACACCTAACAGATAATTACAGTTGCAAAAAAGTGTTTAAAATCAGGATTAGGATGCGTTCACTGCTCATAAAGTGTGGTGTGGACTTCATCTTACACTCAGTTCTTTATGTATTTTGCAAATCAGATGAAGGTTATATATTGTATCAGCAGTTAGTACAGAAATCTTGGTCTGCAAACTCTTTCTTGGGACTATGGATGTATTTGATCAAATACTGGGGTCTTGTCTTTTTCAATTAGTGAGAGGATCTATATCTCACTCTGTGCACTTTCTTTATCAAAACTATTAAAATTTTGTTTACAACACGCTATTCAAATTGTGTGCACTCAGCAACTGAGTCAGGTGTGTATTTATGTTTGTCCATAATTTGAATCCATGCTCAGTCCTGTAGTTTAGGAAGAAGCCCCAGTGTATCATCCGTGAGATAAGTAATTTCAGATAAGCTGCAGGCCGGCTAAACTGTCCTTTTCAACACACACACACACACACACACACACACATGTACACACAAAACCATGTTAATGTATCTGTTTCACTGCATGTTATTTTTCACTCTGACTAGCTATAGCTTATAGCTCAGGACATGGAGCCACAGAGCAGAATATGATACACTTTCTAATTTCACACTCCATCAGCCTTTACTGCCAGACGTAGAGGGAGGGGAAGAAAGGAACAGACAGAGACATGGTGGGAGGGGGCATGGATGAAGAGGAAAGCAAGCAGAAAGAGAAATGGAGAGCAGAAACTGAGATAAAAAAGAAAGGGAAAAGAAGGATTTCACAGGAAGCCAAGTGGCACGTCACTCAGCAGTAAAAAGTTCAGAAGAGGAGACTAGGCCTTGTAAAACTACTAGCTTTGTGAATCCCGCAGGTCATCCAGCACACATGCATTCGCCCCTCACCCAGCTTCATTCTCAAACGCTTGCAGTCTTCCAAAAGAAAATCTTACACAATAATCCAGGCCTTATTTTGTTGGACACTAAAGAAACATGTGGATTGCCCATAAATTCATACACACACACATCAGATCACACTTCAAGATAGATGAACCAAAATCACCTCAGGCAGCACTAAAAGAAAATGAAAAAACAAAAAAACAATACACCAGTAATCCCTTCAAAAATGAAACGATGGGCCTGTATAGAGCCAGTTTACCCAAACGTCTACTGGTAACTTGTTTTCTCGAAAACCTCTGTAGAGGAGGCAGTTACACTCCAGCATCCCTAAGCTTGATTAAACTCGGATTCATGGAACTTTGACTCATTTTAACGAGACGGGCACTGTTAGATGTCCATACTTGATCGTTATCACTAAGTAATGGTTAAAAACAAACAGGGCTGCACATATATAAATGGTGTAAATAGTGCAACACAGACTAATTGTGGGTCGATTGTGCTAACTTTTGGAAATATTCACATATTGAATGCCTATTCAGATCCAGCAACAACCCAGCACTCTACCTGCACACTGTTTTTCATGCTTAATGGGCAAATACATATATTTCCAGCTATTCCCTTACCCAAGGTGAAATTCTGGAATTTTTTAAGGTGAGAAGGGAGATAAGGTCACCGAGAAGTAGAAGAGAATTTATGTTAAGAGGTTGAGTTTGACAGAAGGAAGAAGAGAGTGAATCTTTTGGAATTGCAGTAGCTGAATAGGAAACATTGATTTTTATTTTTTAATCTATTTTTTTTTATATCTCTTTGCAAACAAAACTGCTGCTGTGAAGGTTTTTGAGTTTGACTGTCTTGACTTGCTGGTACTTGAGCAAGTCAAGGACTTAGCAAATGACAACAAAATGTAGAGAATTTATTTGGAGAAGTATCAAATGAACTGAAGGAAGGCAACTAAGAAATCAAGCTAAAAGACAAACAGAGGCAAATATTAGTGTTTGTCTTAATTAAATATTGTGTCTGAACTTGAAAAGTTCCGTTTATGCTTCTCTGCTTTCCATGGTGTATTTGCAATTAAGCACTGAGTTATATTAAGTAAAATCTCCCGTGATACTGACGATCTGCAATCCTGATGACCTGCATTGTCAGCTCTTAATGGTACTGAGTTGCACTTAAGCGGAGCGTAGTAATCTACCTAGTCTCTGGGCAAAACAATAGTATCTGGAAAAGACAGGCTTATTGTACGAGTATACAAAATGTTTTCCCATTTTGTTGAGTCTATTAAAAATTCCAAAGTTAAGAAAAAACGTATATAAATATAGCAGGTGAACAGTATCTGAAAGCTATATTCTTTATAAATCCACTAAATACCTGACACATGACCCGAGAGATGCATCTGACCCTTCACTTGATACAGTTGACCTACTGTTCACTGAAGCCTCATCAGAAGTGGTTTCAAGAAGCCATTCTGTAAGAAACAGTAATGGGGAAAAGGGCTGAGGTAGAAGCACAGTGGCAGCAGGTGGAGTTAGTTATGGAGTGATTAATTAAAATTTGGATTTTTTTTGGTTTAAATTGTTTTCAATGTGTACAAATGAGGTCGAGAGAGAGGTGCAACAGTGAGTGTCTGCAGCTGAGTCCACTGCAGAAAAAGGTGGAGTAAGAGACGAACGAGTGATTGCAGTAAGGCGCATATTCACTCCTGTGTCTTGTGGCAGGGTCTATAATTGCAGGCTTGTAGCAAAAGGAAAAAAAGAGCAGGATAAGAGACTGTGTGTGATGACGTGCATGATAGCTGGATGGCTGATAGAAGGAAAGAATCTGAGCTTTGTCGTTTCATCTAGGATGCAGAGGAGCAATGTAAGGCAAAAAAAAACCAAGAAAAAGAAAGTGGCAGATAAGTGGGTGGTTGGGATCGGCAGGGGAAAGGACTGAGGTCTGTAATGTCCAAAGTGAGATGTCTTTCATGTCAGAAATGGAGAGTAATGAATGCACAAAAGCCAGCATGCAGTGATGTGTGTGAGGACAAAGCATCATGGCCAGATGGATAGATGGATGCATTTATAGAAGAATAGGATATGAAAGCCTGCGTGGATAGCTGGGACAGATATATTTGGATGAATGTGGCTTAGTTGGCCAAAACTGGTGAATGAGTTGGTTTAATAGGTGCAGAGATGTGTGAATATATCAACAATGTATTACAGTTACGGATGGATGAGTAATGTGGATAAATTAATAGTGATCCAAAAGCATCCCCAAATTTTTTTGCAAAGAATATGTGTCTGTGACGATGCTTTTATGGACCAGATGAGGCAAAATCCACAGAAAACACAAAACCTCTGTTGGACGTTTTGGTTTTATTGTGTAACTAATCCCAAAGTGTAGTAAATTGTGTTTTCTTGCTTTAAACACTGGACAAGAAACACTTTTGATTTTCTACAGAGAGAGGAAGATCATCACCTTATGTATAGATCTTTTTGTGTGTATTGTTGAACCTCATGTCGGCCACCTTAAGATCTATAAACTGCTAAGTGTGCTTTTTTCCCACCATGTAATAAAAAGCATTAATGACGCCATACTTTTTCTTTTATTGAGATGGATCACATCTTC